ATCTCCTTCTTTTGAACCAAGATTTCAAGGAGGTAGGTTGTGTCTTTAGTCTGCTTGAAATTTCATATTTTTTAGACTGAAATATAGCTTAGCTACTAAGCTTGATACATTATAGTGGAATTCTATAGTATTGGTATGGTAATTTATGATTTTTTGGTTATTCAACTGTATATATATATATATAAAACCTAAAAAAACATTTTGTTACATATCCTCCACGTGCGAAATGTTAAAAGGCTTAGCAACCTACATCAAGCAGCAACCAAGTATAAAGATTGTAACTAGAAGAGATAATTGCTTGCTTTACTTCTTTATTTACTGTTCTATGTCTTAAGAAAAATAAGTTTAAGAACTTGTTTCTAAATAGCAATAATCTGTATTCATATGTAATGCATAGTAAATGAATGTGACTGTTTTACAAAATACTAGTCTAATAAAACACAGCCATGACAGGTAATTTGTAAAGACTAAAGATCAGTTTTATATTATTGGACACGGTAACATGAGTGTAAGTGTACCACATCATTGTAACTTCTGTATTGTTCGCCAGGCTTGGCTGAAAGGTCAATATAATAAAAAACAATAAATATATTTAAATGTATAATTGTATGAGATTTTAGCTATTTAGTCTAAACATGTATGTTTTCATGTTATAATTACTTTGCATGTTGGATAGGCAACATGCAAAAAGAAAAAAAAGTATGAGAAAAACATTGCTAATCAAACCTTAAGACTTAATAAAAAAAACTGATATTTTGTCTATGAAAGCATTGTAATGTTTACTGATAATCTGCCAAATTTTGTTAACATATGTTTACTAATTTAAAAGTTATAGCATGAAAAATATAACAAGCACAAAATGGTTACGAAGTTGATCCTACGGACCGAGCCCATGCTGAAAGAGTTAATTACCAAAAAAAAGATGTTTTTGAGGTTTTGTGAAATCAACAACTTCACCATAATGATTGTATTATTCAAAAAGAGACAAAAAACAAACAAACATCTAACACTACTTTAATTACACCTGATTATTCTACAAATGTTTAGAACTAGCTTCAATTTCCTGAATAGTGAATGAACTGTTGAACACAGCACTAATGATAATAGTAACATTAAGTTTTAGTATATTTAGAAGCTAATAAATGGCATAAATATAACAGTAGTTAGTAGTGGATCGGTTAATATTAATCTTATGTCATATATGTATAAACAATTTTTCTACCCTGTAATAAAGTTCTGGTGACTTGGAGGGAAGACTTTTCATTTTAATACATGTTACTTATTAACTTTATTTGTGTCATCGTCTTTGGCTGCTTATTTGACTAATATAACAATTAATATTTTTATTTTGTTCCTTTTTTCTGACTGGTTGAGAATGTATAATTTTAATATTGTCTTAAAAACTAAGAAAATGCAATTGTGTTTATTGGTAATTACTAATTTTAATTTCTGCTTCAATACACAAGAAGGAAATGATATTATGCTTATTTGAGTGATGCTTAAACATTGTTGTTGGTTTTTCATGCATCCATTTCAACTATAAATTAAAGGCAGCATACAAGCATGCCACAGTGCTATATAATGTACAAAATTAATTCGTATAAAATAATTGGTGTTTAAAATAAATACTATTGTGTAGTTAATATGTACCATAATTCTGATTTGTAAATGACTTCAATAAAATTGATAATAACTACAATTCACTTAATCTAGCTCACACAATAATAGTTGTTTTTGAAATTGATAGTATAAAATAGTGTATGGACCACTACTACATCTTTCATATCCCAGCCAGTTTGGTGAACCCTGGTGTTATGAGAAAGGTCTTGTTGACACTAGATATGGCAAATGCAGTGTGGTTGATATACATATTTTTTGCTTTCACTGATGAGTTTTTATAATAATTTAATATTTAAAGACAAAAAGGGTCCTGGCTGTTCCATCTACTAAACTATAAAATAAAACTCAAAGCCAGGCCTTTTTAAATATTTCTCAAGCCTACCTATAAATTTACAACATCTGCGTTATTTGAAGACAACTCATTCCGAAAGCCAACCACCCTGTTAGAAAACAAAAATTAGCATAGCTGAAGGTGAAGTCTGCCCAGCCACAATTTATATTTGTGCCACCTAGTCCTACTTTTCACACCATTAACTGTGGCAGGAGCAGCTCAGTTGCCATTTTCTAACTGTGGCGGTAACTTTAATTTTTAGGGCAATTAATCAACCATTTTTGTTTATCTTTTTTTCCTTTAATTTTTCTTACTTGAATAAGATTTTAAATAGCATAAATAAAAAACATAACCTTGCTAATTTAGTTATAATAATATAATTCCTTTACAGAAAATGGTTCAGAGGGGAAATATATATATATATATATATTTTTATTTATTTAGAAAAATCAACTTTTGTATGGTAGATTTCAAAGCATGGTACTATGCATAATCCAACATCACAGTCTTTCCATATATATGATGTGTCCTTTCGTTTTCCTTTAGCTGCACAAACATGACATTGAAACGAGGATCTTCCAGGGTTTCCTTCTTTTTGAGGAGTAAAGTTTGGAAAGTGATGCACTGTGAGGCGATTAGGAGATGATGATGGGGTATATCTTCCTGCTTTGGAGGTGCATTCCCCATATTTCTCAAAAAGCCACTTTATTCTATTTTGAACTTTAGCAATGTATTATTTCCACCAAGCTTTTTATGAAGTATAAAGGAATTCAATACAGCGATATCAAGGAATCTAAGATAGATTTTTTGTAGTGCTACTTTAGATGACTCCTAGCTGCATCATAGGATGAAATCACTTGATCCATGTGATCCACGCCTCCCATCACCTTCTTGTAATTGATACACACAAGAGGCTTGCTCTTTTCCGAGTTACCTTCCTTTACAGTCTTTCAGCATCATGGGTAATGCTTATCATCATAACCTCTCTCTTGTCTCTCCATTGCATGACCATAAGTTTACCTCTATACATGGTAATATCTTGTCCCTTTTTTAGCTTTGCTTTTGAAACTTCCTTTGGAATTCCTTTTCGATTTTTTGCAAAGTTCAGGTTGCATCTGTCATGTGGGAAACTAAAAAATTGAAAACAGGTGGCGAAGAGTAATAGTTATCCATTGCAAGATAAAAGCCCTTATCCAAAAGGTCTGTCATTAGATGCAGGATGACTTTTGTTGAATGATTTAGGTATTCAGATGCAATTTCAGTAGCACAAGGAGGCATTTGAAGATCTGTTCCCTTTTCAGTGTAAACTTCAAAGTTATACACGTATTCTGTGCTTGATTTGCAAAGAAAGTAGCCCTCAATTCCAAATCGAGCACGCTTTAGCGGGATGTACATCTTCCATCCCAATCTACCCTTCCCTAGAAGTAAGCTCTCATCTATGCATATATTCTTTTCAGGGAAATATGCACTCTGAAAAGACTCTTTGTGTAAGTTTAGAAGATCTCTAATGTTATATAATTTATCTGAAGAGTCTTTAGAAGCGGAGAAGTGCAAGTGTTACAGGAGAAGGAGAAATCTATCTCTCGGCATTGTTTCCCCAAAAAAAGGTGTTGCCAACAGACAATCCTTTGAAAAATACATCTGAAAATCAGACTTTTTGATTATTCCCATCAATAACAACATTGCATCGAGTACACGCATTTTGCCGACGTTTGTGTCTTTCCAATTTTGTAGTCTACTTTTCTTCTTCAATAATCCTGAGATGAATTTCTGTTTGCAAATTTCATTAGCATACGCATTAGTTTCCGAGACGATTTTCAATATTATTCCAGCATTTTGAATAGATTCAAAAATCTCCAAAATATTATTAGTATTGGTTTCCTTTATTTTGACAACCAAATCTCCACTAAAAGTAAAAAAAATTTCTTTAGCTTCCGATGAGTGACCACTCTACTTGCGAAGTACTTGGTACATTTGTTTGTTCATTATCAGATAAATCATCAATTGTGACTTCATTAGTAAATTCTTCTTCGCTATCAGAGGATAAATCTAAGCTTGATTCGTCACTTTCACAAAGGTATTGGCAAAGCTCTTCATCAACAATAACCTGCTTTGCCATTTCAAGAGAGGAGAAAAATTTTTAAATAACCCTCTCCGACGAAATAGCTTTTGAGCTCTGATTCTTTGGAGGTAGGAGTGCCCATCTGATTCCCTGACTCACAGATAAAACTGAGTTGCCATCAATCAGAATAAAATTTAAATTTTTGTCATTTGCATAGAGTTATAGTTATATATGTGTGTGACTGACAGATATTTCCATCATTCGCAGCTGAGCCATAGAACTTCAGTGACGGAAATATCCGTCATCTGCAGTTAATGGGTTAAATATGAAAAACAGATGATGTATTGCCACAGGATCAGAATTATTTTATTGTGATGTACTTAAAAACATACATATTAAAAATACACAACTTGAAAAAGTCAGACAATAATAAGAAACCTTATAACTTCAAACATAAGTTATTCTAATAATATTGTTGTACTTGTTATGGTAACTAGAACAGAAGAAAACTAAAATAATTGTAAGAACCAGTAAAGTTTTTTTCGCTAATTTTTAATACAAAAATATTGCATTGCATTAATCATAGGGAGAAATGGCCGATGAGGGTAGCAATGCAACAGAAGCTGCAAAGCGTGGACGAGGTCGACCCAAGAAAGCAGATAAGCCTGAAGAGTCATCCAAAGATGTAAAAGTAGGTACTTATTAGAATTAATCTTTTCTTAAGCCACAGTTTAATGTTATTAGTTGTCAATATAGAAGTATTTGTACCAAGATTTTTAGATTGAGCTGTCAGTAGTCTTTTTTTGCCCAATTAAATAATGTTTACATTTTTTTTTGTGTTTAGGCATTAAACATTTATTTTCTAGATATTTATAATATCTTAAACTTCATGAGTTTTCAATTTATTTTTATAGTTGTTGAGGAAAAAGAATCTTGTAAATTTTTTTTTGCATTTTAACATGCACGAGAATTGCTGCTAGTGAGTTAGGCCTAATTCCTGAATCTTTGTTCTGAAATATTTTTTAGCTTTATTACTAGCAACTAAGCACAACTTCTGTGGCTTGACAAACTTATTCAATGCTTATTCTTCAGTCATGCCATTGAATGGATTCTGATCTATATTAAATGTGTGATCCAAATTTTAACATTTTGTAAATGTAAAATGATGTAGGGATGGCAGTGCCAAAAATAATGCAAGCGAGAATATAGGAATGATGCAGCTATACATAGGTCATTCCTATGTGGCTTTCAATATTAAAATTTTATATTACACTGTAAAATGCATACTCGACCGCAGTTGGAAATTGTATATTTCTGACTGTTGGTATGTGATTTATCATATGGTCATGTCAGGGTAGGCATCAATGTAGTGTAAATAAGAGCCTAGGACTTGTGTACAAGGAAAACCATGTTGAGTCAAAATATGTCTTGAATATTACAGACTCTTGGTCCGAGGTCATTCGAATTGACTGACTTAATAACCATTTTGTACTTGTACATTTTACAGTGTAACATTAAATTTTAGTATTGAAAGTCATGTAATGATGATCTTTGTATAGCTGTACCACCCCTATAATCTTGTTTGCATTTTTTATTTGCACTGCCATCCCTACATCATTCTACATTTACAAAATGTTTTTTATTACATCTTCTAGATCTGTTTCAACAGTTTTAACTCAGAAATAATTTAAAATCAATATTTTGCCTTTTGGTAGCATTTATTTAGTATAATTCATGAAGAAAATATTCAAATATTCATTTCAGTGCAGTTCCATGGAGTCTTGCCTGTAAATACTGTAATTATCAGTTTCTTAGAATTTTTCTTCCTGTTCCAAAGAATAGCTTTAAATCTGTTAAACAACTGTCTTGAGAACATATTATTCAATTTTTAATTTTGTGGAATTTCCTTTTCTCTCTTTCTGCTTATTGTATACGCTTTCGGTGCCATCTTCCTATGTTATCAAATGAAGTGATTTGATCATTTACTAATAAAGTACAGCTTTGGAATTTATTTTGATGAAAGCTTAAATGTTATTAGATAGAGCCAAAATTAGAATTCATAGTAGAGTAACTGAACTCGTTTGAACAGTAGTTCCTGGTTGCTAGTTAGAGCTCTCATTGCATTGACCAGAAGCATTCAATGGGAAGTTTTTAAGACTTAGGATATAGTCACAAATATGGGAATTTTTTCATAGTTTCTATATATATCTTCTTTTCATTTTTGAAAGTATTTGTGCATTAAATTGTAACTGTTTGAAGCTACAGAAACTTTAATTTAGAACAAGACATAAGGTAAAGTTAGGTTTAGGAAGTACAGTAAGAAATGGAATAATATTTTGCTGACTGAAATCCTTCTCTATGGAATATTATTTTTACATTTGTCATTCTTCAATCAATATTCATAAATCAGTTGGATAACTGGCTACTTAATTATTTTTTTTGTAATTGAAATCTTGATATATTTTAAATAAAAGTGTTAAAATTGTTACCAGTGATAGTAAAACTTTTTCATTGTATGAAATCAATAGGGGGACTACTGCAGATTTTAAAAAATAAACAAAATGATGACTGTGTGGTTTTCTGAACAAAAGAAATTTGCCAAATAGGAAATGTT